AATGTTACTTTGAAGACGGTTGTTTTAGTGAAGCAGTCCAAATGAATTCTATTTAATATACAGGCGTTTTATTTGGGCAAAGTATTCAACATTTGTTAAAGCGTAATTGAGATAAACATGTTAGCACTCTCCTTTATCACTCTATGGGGAAGCAGTTGTGAGTCGAGGCATATGACACATCGCTAAAAAATATGCATTTCGCGTGTGAATGAGCACCTAGTTTCACCCCGATGAAGATGAACATATTCAAAGCCACCCTTATTTAAATTTGTCATTTTGGAAAAAAATTCTGTAGAAAGAAGACTATTTTTTTTTATCTATAACCAGTTCTGCAGAGGAGGATAGCAAAGCGACGATTGGCTTAATTTCATACATAGTAAGCTTTTGAATCGCCTATATTTGGTTGCCTGCACAGTTTCTTAATATGCTACTTTATTCATCTGTACTAAGGCAGCACTTTCTTGCAGCAAAATGTCTATTAAGTAGTGTGTAAAATTGCAAAGAAAATTTAATGACTCGGTAATTAAATATTTGGCAAAATTATTTATAAGCATTTGAATAAGTCAGTGAAATAACTGAACTGAAACACGCCGCTCCTTCTGAGTAAACTTCCAACTGCGGAAAGATGAGGAATGACAAAGCTTTATATTGCTTTGTTAAAAAATAAATAGATGTCAACTATATTTGCTAAAACTTATGGTAGTAGTAAAAGTGGAATGCGCCATTCATTCATTCAACTGCTCTCTTTTTTCATCGGTACATATGCACCCATTCTGCGGTTCTTGAAACTCAGCATGTAATACAACGCAAATATTCGGGAAATAAGCAAATGAACTGAACCCCAATTTTAAGGCCTAAGGCAAGGAGTGGGAGAAATCAAGACAAACACATTGTAATAAACTGATATGCTAATCACTTCTCGAAATTGACTGTCACCTTCTGGACTCTAAAAAGGAACACGGGGGCGGTGGGAGCGAGGAAAGGGCGATCAGTTTATGGTATTGATGGTGTAATTCATCTACCGCCACTTAACTCGGTAATGGCGTGCGTCAAAGTTGTAATCCTCCTCCCCACCCGCCCCCCAAAAGGACTAAGTATTGAAATAGAGTTATATTAGTTCTGTGCTTTTAAAGGTTATTTGCTTATGTATTCTTTTGCCTGTCTATGCTATTGCGACTAC